TGTTTCTAACTCTCTATCTCTCTCCCTTCCTCTCTGTAAAAAATCAATAAAATGTATAAAAAAAAAAAAAAGACTTACTAAAAGCTACAGTAATCAAGAGAGTGTGGTATTGGAACAGACAAACAGATCAACAGAACAGAACAAAGCTCAGAAATAGACCACATAAATATAGTCAACTGATCTTTAACAAAGGAGCAAAGACAATTCAATGGAGAAAGAATAGTCTTTATAATAAACTAGAGGCCTGGTGCACAAAATCATGCATGGGTACAGCCCCTAGGCCTAGCCTGCGATCAGAGACATCTTCCCTGACTGCCGGCAGCCAGCCCCGCCCCCTGCCGCCACCCACCCCAGTTCCCCGCTCGCCATCTGGCGATGGGAGCCTGCTGGCTGGGGGGAGGGGTCAAGAGGTCGGCCGTTCCCACTTGCTCTCTGACCCCACCCCTGCTGCAGGTCGCCCACTGTGTGTGGGGCAACCGGCGGGGCAGGGGCCTTGGCCTGGCACCATCCGCATCCCCCACCACCCAACCCAGTTCCCTATTCACCACCGGTGACTGGAGCCTGCGGGCCAAGGGGAGGGACCAAGAGGTCGGCCGTCCACCCACTCGCCAGTCCTGCCCCCCCACCCCAGTTCCCAATTCGCCATTAGTGATCTGAGCCTGCCGGCCAGGGAAAGGGACCAAGAGGTGGTCAGTGCACATCATAGTGACAGGTCAAGCGGTCGTTCTGGTCATTCTGCCATTATGGCTGCTGGGCTTTTATTATATAGGATGGTGCTGGACAACTGAACATCCAAAGGCCAAAAAAATTGTCTAGACACAGACCCTACACATGTCACAAAATTAACTCAAAAATTGATAGCAAACCTAAATGTTAAATGCAAAACTATAAAACTCCTAGAAGGTAACACAGCAAAAAATCCTGATGATCCTGGGTTTGGCAAGGACTTTTCTGATAGGATATCAAAGACAATCCATGAAAGAGAGAATTAATAAACTGTGCTTCATTAAAATTAAAAACTTTCCCCCCAAAATTAAAAACTTTCATTCTGTGAAAGACACTGTTGAGAATGAGAACACAAGTCAGACTGGGAAAAATTGTTTGCAAAAGACATCCTATCTAATAATAGACAAACATGGTAATTGACTGTACCTTCGCTACACCTCCCATTGGCTAATCAAAGTGATATGCAAATTAACCGCCAACAAAGGTGGTGGGTAATTTGCATACTGCGGGCAGGGCGGGCCAGCGAGAGCCGCCATCCGGGCCCCCCACCAACAAAGATGGCGGCTAATTTGCATACTGGAGGCAGGGCGAAACACCAGGAGCCGCCATCCAGGCCCCCGTGTGTGACCCCAGGAGCCACCGGAAAGCCAGGCTGCAGGCAAGGTGGCCCCTCTGGACCCAGGAGCTGCCTTGCCTGCGGCCCGTGATCCTGATCGTGATCGGAAAGCCGGGCCGCAGGCAAGGCAGCACCCCGGGACCCAAGAGCCGCCTTGCCTGTGGCCCGTGATCGTGATCAGAAAGCTGGGTTGCAGGCAAGGCAGCATCCCGGGACCCAGGAGTCGCCTTGCCTGCGGCCTGTGATCGTGATCATGATTGGAAAGCCGGGCCACAGGCAAGGCGGCACCCCGGGACCCAGGAGCCTGTCAGCGAGGTCTGCAGGCGAAGCAGCAATCAAGCTATGAGGGGGAGGGTGGGGGGCGGAAGGAGCTACAGGAGCAGCTCTGGCCGGAGACTGAAGACTCCCGCCGGAGTGAGGAGCAAAGAATGAAGGCTCCAGCCACAGTGAAGACTGTGTCCAGAGCGAAGATGGAAGGCGGTGGCCAGAGTGAAGGTCGTCTGGGTCCGTGCCAGAGGAAAACTGGTGCTGGCAGCCAGGGGAAAGAAGGCCTATTGCACGAAACTTCGTGCAACAGGCCACTAGTCTATATATATAAAAGCCTAAGCAATCCAACAACCGAATGACCAGTCCACTGGTTGCTATGAAGTACACTAACCACCAGGGGGCAGACAATGCAAGAGCTGCCCCTGGTGGTCAGTGCGCTCCCACGGCCAACCTCCTGCAGCCCGTCCCCCTGGCTGGCCAACCTCCTGCAGCCCCTCCCTCCCACCCAGCCAGCTGGCCTGATGGCCCCGATCGCTGGCCAGACCAGGGACCCCACCTGTGCATGAATTGTGCACCAGGCCTCTAGTAAATACATAAAGGACTGTTACACAAAATATATAAAGAACTCTTAGAACTCAACAGTAAGAAAACAAACAATCCAATTAAGAAAAGGGCAAAAGCTGCCCAGTGTGTCTCAATTGGTTAGAGTGTTGTCCCAAACACTGAAAGGTGGTAGTTTGTTTCCTGGTCAGGGTACATACCCCAGTTTGTTAGTTCATGTTGTTCATTAGATTCCACATATTAAGGAAATCATATGGTATTTGTCTTTCTCTGACTGGCTTATTTCACTTAGCATAATGAATTCCAGAGTTCCTTCTTTTTTGCAGTCACATAATATTCCACTGTGTAAATGTACCACAGCTTTTAGTTTAGTTTTTAATATTACTGCCAGTATAGAACAACTAGTTTATGCTTACCACTTGTAATGGTTGTGTTTTCCAATAGTTCTGTCTGCAGCTGTAGTTCAGCTTCTCCAAGTATCTTTAGAACAGAATCCGTAGGGCTTTTTCCCCAGACTCTTCTTGGAGATCCTCCAGGATCTAATTTAATAACCTCTCCCACTGTATGTCCTACAAGAAAAAGATACAACTATTTCAATGAAATAACATAATACGGCATTACTAGAGGCCCAGTGCACGGATTTTTACACTGGTGGGGTCCCTCGGCCTGGCCTGTGGGGACTGGGCCCAAACCGGCTTTCCGACATCCCCTGAGGGGTCCCAGATTGCAAAAGAGCACAGGCCAGGCTGAAGGACCCCACCAATGTACGAATCCATGCACTGGGCCTCTAGTATGCATCTAAGATCTTTGGTTAATCTCTTCCCACCCTCCCCCGTCCCTCCTTCCCTCTGAGATTCATCAGTCTGTTCCATGTTTCCCTGTCTATGGTTTCTGCTCCTGTGTTGAGCAAGAGGCATATCTTTATAAAGTGTGCCACGCCAGAACAGCCAAGGGTGAACCTGAGTGGGGGCGGCTGAAAGGCTTAGAAAAGACAGACAAGAGAATGAAATCCGGGTCTCGGTGGGACGCTGCTTCTCTGAGAGACAGTGACCACCCTAGTCAGCCGGTCGCTCAGGCTTTTATATATATAGACTAGGGGCCCAGTGCACAAATTTGTGCACCTTAAGAGGAACTGTGGGCTGCGAGGCTGAGGTGGGCACAGGGGCGTCTCCACCCAGCCCCTTCCGTTGCGGCCCCCAGTCCCCTGGCAGTCCCGCTCCAGCCACCACCGCTTTCACACGCTGATGGTGCAAGCAGCAGTGCAAGTGGGGCCAGAGCCAGCAGTGGCTGCGAGCGGTGGCTGCCAGCACCAATTGCCCCTCAGGAGCAGGGGGAGATGGAGAAGCCCTGAGGGGCAATCAGGGCTGGCAGGCGCCACTCGCACCCGCTGATGGTGCCGAGCGATTGGGGCCGGCGCCAGGCACCAGCAGCGGTTGCGAGTGGTGGCTTCAGTGTTGGCAGTGGGTGTGAGAGGGGCAGGCGCTGGCAGCAGGTGCAAGTGCTGGGAGGGACCGTGGCGCGTGGGAACAAAAAATTGTCAGTAACCAGCAGAGGCATGCCCCAATGACAGTGACTGGAGCCCTGCCTTGGTCTGGCGCCCCCACTCACCTGCTCTACCATACCGCCATGGCCGATGCCCGCCATGTTCCATGCTCTGCTGCCTGCTACCGACACCCACCATGTTCCGCCTGCGCCCCCTGAGGGTCAGCGCATATCATAGTGACTGGCTGTTTGGTTGTTCTGCTGTTTGGTCTATTTGCATATTAGGGTTTTATATATATAGATGAGGCAGATTCATGGTCTTCTATCCAACTGAGTACTTCATGAGAAATAAAGGTTATATCACAAACAGCATATGATGGTGATGCTTAAGAAAAGACTTTCAGGAAATGAATGATGAAACTAACACCAGTAATAAAAATATATCTATAATTACTTTTTAAATACTAAAGAATTTTAGGGAATATAAAAATAAAAAATATATATATTATGTTTCTATAAAAATTTTACTTGAGAAAATAAAAAAACTAATATAATTGAGCAATTATTGGGAGAGCACAAAAAAGATAAAATGTAAATTAATTTTTTCTATGAATTTAATTGAAGAGAACAGAAAACAAATACTAAGCTAAATGTACTGATGGATTAAAAGTAGAGAAAAGTATAGCTAAGAAATTTTGTTTTATTTTCTTATATATCTTAAGTAGGCAACTACATTTTCTTTTTGACAATAATAATTTTGGATAAACTTGAAAAATAAAATTTAGGAAAGCAAAAATATGGGAAATTATCTATTGAAGTTTGAATTTTCAGAATGTTTGTTAATAATACATTTAGCACTTAGGTATCTAGCAGTAATAGATAGAATATAATTTTATATAAAAACCCTGGGTGTAACATTACGTCCAGAACCGCGACCAACCGGAAGGAAGTCAGTCCTGCAGGGGTCATCTTGGAAATGGCTGCACCCTCCCCCCGAGCTGTTTCCCGGAGCTGTTTCCTGTTAGGGCGGGGTTTGAGGCAGGAACCTGCCCTCGGAGCGTAGAGGCATATCTTTATAAAGTGTGCCACGCCAGAACAGCCAAGGGTGAACCTGAGTGGGGGCGGCTGAAAGGCTTAGAAAAGACAGACAAGAGAATGAAATCTGGGTCTCGGTGGGACGCTGCTTCTCTGAGAGACAGCGACCACGCCCATAGCCATGTCTTTATTTTATAGCATTATAGCAAAAATTTGTGCACTCGGAGGGGTCCCTCAGCCCGGCCTATGCCCTCTTGCAGTCTGGGACCCCTCGGAGGATGTCCACCTGCTGGCTTAGGCCTGCTCCCTGGGGGATCGGGCCCAAGCTGGCAGTCAGACATCCCTCTGGCAGCTTAATCAATTTATCAGTCACTGTTTGCATCACTGTTGTTTTTATATCATGTTTTTGTTGTTTTCATATCATGTTTTTGTTGTTTTCATATTATATTTTTTTCGTTTTTATATCATGCCTCTGTTGTTGTTATGTCCTTTTGTTACTGTTTATTTATTAATAAATTTATATATTATTTTCATATACATTTTACTAATTTCCTTTCATTTCTCACACTTCTATTATAGAGAAAGGGCAAATAGCAATATTAAAATATCTCCGCTAATTAATTCCCTTTTTTAAAAAAAATATATCTTATTGATATTTTACAGAGGAAGGGAGAGGGATAGAGAGTTAGAAACATCAATGAGAGAGAAACATTGATCAGCTGCCTCCTGCACACTCCCCACTGGGGATGTGCCCGCAACCAAGGTACATGCCCTTGACTGGAATCGAACCTGGGATCCTTGAGTCCGCAGGCTGATGCTCTATCCACTGAGCCAAACCGCTTAGGGCAATTAATTCCCTTTTAATGTACACAAATTTCGTGCACCAGGCTACTAGTATGGGGTATAAGTCATAAACTTTCAATGGTACCCAAATATTTACTGATATAAATTTTTGTGTACCAGTTCTATGGAAGTAAGGACCTGAAAATTAGCAGGTAATAATCAGTTTGTACAGTCAAAAAGGTTACCAACAGGGAACCAATTTTAAAAAAAGATGGTTGAAAAGAGTAGAGAACCCAAAAATAGACATATGACTTACAGCCACTTGGTGTTTGACAAAGATGCCAAAGCAATGTAATATGTGTTTGGGGTCTCTTTAACAAAGGAAAGTAGAAAACTGAATGTCCATAAGAAAATATATATATACTTCATATCCTTCGATACAGGGAAGACCAGGTGGTCTCTCTGAGCAGAGGTAATGGAACTGGAAGTCTAGGGTGGCAAAGTGGCTTACGTTGGCAAGAAGAGTGCTGAAGAGTAGAAAACTACACAAATAGAGAATTCAGGAGAACTGTAAAGAGCCCCTTCAAGTCTAAGCTGAATAATGATCAGCACATGCGTGAGGAAATTACTGTAGTCTAGAAAAAAGACCACCCGAAAGGAGTAGAGGGAGCAATACTTGGAGTTTACACAGGATCAGAAATAGTCCCTATTCCCACCAGCCAGAAGAGGAAATCTTATAATTCACAAGGCATCAAGTACATTACTCAGAGAGGTTTTTGACTCAGTAAAGGGAGAAAAATTAGCCACAGACTAAACATTGTTCTGGCTCAATCTAACAAAGCTTAAAAGCAAGACATAAAAGGGTCAAACTTTTTACAAGTGAATTGTGTCTCAGAACAAAAAGAACAAAAATATTTACAGAAACACAAAAATATACAACACCCATCAAAGTAAAATTAACTGCTTGGCCTCCAAACAAGAATTACCAAGCCTGTATAAAAAAGCAGCAGAATTCAACTTACACTAAATAGAAAAAAGTCTATCAATCAAAACCAAGCCCCAAAATGACAGAGATGATGTTATTAGTAGATAGGGACGTTTATAACTGTCATTATGACTGAATTCCATATGTTCCACAAACTAGAGACAAGATTGCTGATGATACTCACAGATAAGGAAAACATTAACAAGATTCATATTGAGCATCTAGAAAGGAGGGCTGGAAAATATAATGGCAAACAAATCTGATGAAAACTATATACTCACAAATCCAAGAAGCTCAACAAAACCCAAGTAAAAGAAACATGAAGAAAAATGACATAAAGGTACATCATAATCAAATTTACTAAAACCATAGCTTAAAAAAAACACCATAGCTTAGTGAGAAAATCTAAAAAGCATTGAGAAGAAATAAGACATATTAATACTAAAAATGAAGACTAAGAATAAGAGAAAAAGAAAGAGCTTGGCATGTGTTAAAAGAAGTAAAAAGTGAGTACAGTGGGGCCTTGACTTACGAGTTTAATTCGTTCTGAGACCGAGCTCGTTAACTCAAATTACTCTGTCAACTCAAAGCAAAAAATCGGCTGAGAGACAGCTGGTATCTCAAAAAACTTGTTAGTCGGGACACTCGTAAGTCAAGGCCCCACCGTAGGTAGAAAGAAGTAGATAGGTCAATAGGCAAGGGAAAACCTCAGGAGAGCCTAGTGGACTATGAAAGGGACTTTGGATTTTTGTTCTAATTGCCATGGAAATCACTTGTTTTAAAATGGGAGAGTGATGTGATATACTTTAACCTAATTAGCATAAAATATTTTCAAGTCTCTTTTTTCATAGTTTCACTGACTCTAAATTGCTACCAAGTAACACCAACTTATATCTCTATTGCCCTTCATAGCTCAGCTTCCTTAAAAGGTTCTAAAATTTTTTTAATTTATTGTCTAAAGATTTACATATGTCTCCTTTTTCTCCAATTGACCCACCCCTGGCAAGCCCCCACCACCCCAGTGTCTGTGTCCATTGGTTAAAATTTTTTTTTTTTTAATTTCCTCAACTTCCATTTGCTTCTTAATTCCTAGGCTCTATTTCTGCCCCTGGCACTCTAATGACACTGCTTTTATCAAGATCACAATGCCTTTTCCTGGACAAAACCAATGTAAATTTTTTAGCCTCAATTTGTCATCACTCTTTCTTAAGTCTTCTCTTTTTCCTTGTAATCCAAGCCACATTCTCAATTTTCCTAACTCTAAATGTTCCTCATTTTGTCTTCAAAGTTTTTCTTCCTCTGACAAACTCCTAGAAGAGTTTCACATAAAACCCTTAGAGGCCTATCTCCAAATATATCTTACAAGTGCCCTCTTTTCTTTATCAACTTTCAGCAACTCTGTGAAAGTTATCAATACTTTTCGTCTATATTAGTACAAGGCCTCTAAAAACTGGTCTCAAGGACTTTTTAATCCTGAGTAAGATGGAATAGGATACTGGATTGTGCTATTGCCTAAATAACCAAAACAATTGAGAAAAATATCTAAAACAACAATTTCAAGACACATCACCAAAAAATGCCATGTTATATAGAGAGGCACAAAGGTAAGAATCAGATTTTTAGTCAGAAACAATGCAAGTAAGAAGACAGTGGAGCAACATCTTTAAAGCACTGAAAGACAAAACTGCCAACCTAGAACTCTATTCCCAGAGAAAATATCTTTTAAAAGTTAAGGTGAAATACTCTTCAGTATAAAAAGTTGAAAGAATCTATCGCCAATATTACAAAAAAAAAATGTTAAAATAAGTCCTTTAGCCAGAAGGAAAATGATACTACGTGGATATGTGAACCTAAACAAAGACATTAAAAAATACTAGAAATTGCCATTACACAGATAACTATAAAGACTAATTTTCTTAGTATTTAAATCTCTTTAAGGATAATTACATTTCAAAGTCTTGGGAAGATGAAGTAAGCATCAACCTGTGTCTCTCAATACAGCTGTAGAAGCCAGGACGAAATGCATAAGCTATTAAGCTATTTGAAAACTCTGAGATGCAAACAGTAGCAGCCAGATTAGGGAAGAGGACAAAAATTCAAAGTACCACCAGTCTGATGGTACCATTATGCTTCCCCCCTGCCCCCCATCTATTATTCCCCAGTCAGGATTCAATATACCAGAAAACCATTAATGGCACACTGTTTGAAGACCTCTCTCAATAAGGGTAAAGCTCATACTGTTCAACACAGCCAGTGTATAGAACCCTTCATGATCTGGCCCTGCTTACCTCTTCCAAGGTTTCTTGCTTGCCATTCTTTGTCTTGAATTCTGAACTTTGCCAACCATGCTGAATTATATCCATTCCCTGCGCTTCACATGCTCTCGTAATTATCAGCCCTACTAATTCTCTGCTGCAAACACTCTGCTTGGCTTTGGTTTATTGAGCTAACACTTTTTATTCCTTAGCACATCACTGTTTCCAAAAATCATTTTCTTAGCTCTCCCAAGACTGATTTATGCCCTGGGATATATATTCTTACAGTGCCTTATGATTATTTCCTACCACATTATTTATCAACTATAATGAATTGCCTCTCTTCTTGCCTCCCTTTCCACTAGACCAGGGGTGGGCAAACTTTTTGACTCGAGGGCCACAATGGGTTCTTAAACTGGACCGGAGGGCCAGAACAAAAGCATGGATGGAGTGTTTGTGTGAACTAATATAAATTCAAAGTAAACATCATTACATAAAAGGGTACGGTCTTTTTTTTTTAGTTTTATTCATTTCAAACGGGCCGGATCCGGCCCTCGGGCCGTAGTTTGCCCACGGCTGCACTAGACCCTAATCTCCTTGAGTGGAGAGAATATGTCTTAACCATTATGTATCCTCACTGCTTAGGAGTATGTGGCATATAATGGAATTCCATAAAGAATTGTTTCCTCAAAAAATTAAACATGGAACTGCCATTTGAGCCAGTGATTCCACTTCTACGAATATATCTTAAGAAACCTAAAACACCAATCAGAAAGAATGTATGCATCCCTATGTTTACAGCAGCACAATTTACAATAGCTAAGATGTGGAAACAGCCCAAGTGCCCATCAGATGAGGGGATAAAAAAACTGTAGTACATTTATACCATGGAATACTATGCACCTATAAAAAAGAAGGATCTCTTACCATTTGAGACAGCATGGAGGGACCTGGAGAGTATTAAGCTAAGCAAAATAAGCCAGTCAGAGAAAGACAAGTATCACATGATCTCACTCATATGTGGAATCTAATGGACAAAATAGATCCAGAGACATAGAAGATTGGAACAGACTGCAGAATCTCAGAGGGAAGGTGGATCAGGGTGGGTGGGAAGAGATCAAGCAAAGAACTTGTATGCATATTTGCATAACCCATGGATACACACAATAGGAAGGTGAAGGCCTGGGGCAGGGGTGGGGGCAGGCGCATCCTAGATGGGGTCAATGGGGGTAAAAAGGGAACATATGTAATACTTTCAACAATAAAGATTTTTTAAAAAAGAACTGTTAAAATAAGTAAACAAATGCTGTGGAATCTTTGGGCTTTTCTCCATGGTAAGAAAGAATTCTACAAAAATAGTCCATTAAAAAAAATTACTTAAAACTTTAGACAGAGGTCAGCCTCGCTCTTTTAGAATATTAGCTCCAAAGAGCACATATCACTTCATTCATTCACGGTTATATCTCTATCTAGTGCCTGGGAAAATGCAAGACAATAGTAGGTGCTCATAAATATTGCTGAATAAATATATTATTGAGATCTTAATATTCCTGCTAAATCCCTAAGGGACCTTTCTGAGATTTTGTCAGTTTACTACTCTAGTTCTCATCAAGAATTATTCCTGGAACAGATTAGAAAGGGTTAAAGTAATACAATTTAAATAGTATATATCATTAGTCCCCCCGCTCACACTTTACACTTCTGTAATAAAAATCCTTGCTATTCTTAAGGTTTAATAGTTTTGTCCCCATGTTTCACATATATGTGAATTTCTTCCAGGTTCTCTCAATCCCTCTAAAGTGTTCTTTCCCTCAGAGTGTCCAGTCTACAAGTTTACATGTGTGCTATGCCAAAACAGGATAAAAACACATACTGTCATACATACTGTCAGTTGCAGAGAAGGATGTATCCAATGCAAACTCATCCAGAGGAATCACAAGTTGACCTCCTGCCTCCCACTTCTTGCGATCAGGTGAAATCAACTTTTCTTTTTCATGCTTTTCGGCATTTTCATGCGCAATTACCTCACCCATATCAGGGTGACACTGCTTCCCTTTTTCATCTTCTTGAGCTTTAAGATTTTGATTTAATCTCCGTAGTATTTCTCGTTTACTCTGAAACAGTTAAAATGCTGTATTTTATAATGTATATGATTAAGTAAAATGATTGAGAGAAAAAATGGAAAATTGTACCTACTGAAATGGAATTGTTAGTCTTTTGCATTTCTTCTGAGGTGTCCTGGGTATCAGTTAAACTTCTGTCCTTTAAACACAGATAGTTTCAGAGTAAGAAATAATGTTATTTTAACATTCTAACTCAAAATTTTTGTTACTTTTTGTTTTTCATTAAATTGTTCCTTGTGAGTTATTTTATTCCTGTAAATGTTAACACAACTTCCTATATTATCAGCAGTGAGAAACAGGTAATAGATTAAATATATAGTAAAAGGGCCAATTCTCAATTATTTGTCATATTTTTGGATTACTGATTACCTATTTGACTATATCCTCTTCCTCTTTGGCACCTGAATTTTTTGGTAATTTTAAGTCAATAATAGAAATAAAAAGAAAATTAATTCATATAGGCTCTCAATTAGAGCTAAGGAAAGTTTTGATGAATAAAGTAATTCAAGATAGGCCATGTTATTTTGAAGCTTTCTTTGTTTCATGTACATATGTATGCTTAGTAAGCAATACTACTAAACATAATTGAGAACTGGCTTTTTTACCTAAGCCAAGAGAGTATCAATAGTGAGTTCTGAGCCCCATGTACCAAGGATAATATAAATTCTATTGTTTGATTAGCAAAATCATAGCAATCTTAGACACCTAGAATTTTTACATATGTGAAAAGAAGAAATTAGTAGTTATGAAAGCAAACTATATATGGAAGACTCAGAGTATGCAAGAGCAATTTTAAAAGTATAAGTAAGCAATATTTACCAAGAAAACACAAAGAAAAACCATTTAGTTACATGAATTACCTTAATTTGTAGTATTTGAGAAAAACACAAAAAAAGTACAGTGGTCAGTTTGAAAGCAATACATGTAATGAGACAAAGAGCCTTTTACCCAGTATAGTAGTCAGGAATTAGCAGTCGCTACAACCAGAGAGGTCACAGCTACTTGAGATGTGAGACTGGGTACCAGGAGGGAACCACACAGTGGTATCTAAAGTTGAAGTGAACAACGTAGTACATGCAAAGTCGTTATCAGAAAGAAGAGAGACTAATCCTACTTAAAGAACAACAGTTACTTCTATGAAGTTTTTAAGAGTGACCAAGAAACTTGTCTTTTCCTACTCAGTCTTATTTTCAAGACAAACACACAGGCTGTAAAAATTGGCGCACCAATAACAGTGTTGTCTACAAAAATTTAATGAAACTCAACTATTACAAGGCACAGACATTAATTACCAGGAGAGGAGAAATCAGGTTAATGTGTTATATTATACTAGAGGCCCGGTGCATGAAATTTGTGCATGGAGGGGGGCTTCCCTTAGCCCAGCCTGCACCCACTCCAATCGGGGACCCCTCGGGGGTTTACCTAAGCCAAGAGAGTATCAATAGTGAGTTCTGAGCCCCATGTACCAAGGATAATATAAATTCTATTGTTTGATTAGCAAAATCATAGCAATCTTAGACACCTAGAATTTTTACATATGTGAAAAGAAGAAATTAGTAGTTATGAAAGCAAACTATATATGGAAGACTCAGAGTATGCAAGAGCAATTTTAAAAGTATAAGTAAGCAATATTTACCAAGAAAACACAAAGAAAAACCATTTAGTTACATGAATTACCTTAATTTGTAGTATTTGAGAAAAACACAAAAAAAGTACAGTGGTCAGTTTGAAAGCAATACATGTAATGAGACAAAGAGCCTTTTACCCAGTATAGTAGTCAGGAATTAGCAGTCGCTACAACCAGAGAGGTCACAGCTACTTGAGATGTGAGACTGGGTACCAGGAGGGAACCACACAGTGGTATCTAAAGTTGAAGTGAACAACGTAGTACATGCAAAGTCGTTATCAGAAAGAAGAGAGACTAATCCTACTTAAAGAACAACAGTTACTTCTATGAAGTTTTTAAGAGTGACCAAGAAACTTGTCTTTTCCTACTCAGTCTTATTTTCAAGACAAACACACAGGCTGTAAAAATTGGCTCACCAATAACAGTGGTGTCTACAAAAATTTAATGAAACTCAACTATAACAAGGCACAGACATTAATTACCAGGTGAGGAGAAATCAGGTTAATGTGTTATATTATACTAGAGGCCCCGTGCACGAAATTTGTGCACGGAGGGGGGCTTCCCTTAGCCCAGCCTGCACCCACTCCAATCGGGGACCCCTCAGGGGATGTCCAACCACTGGTTTAGGACACCCATCTCACAATCCGGGACCACTGGCTCCTAACCACTCACCTGCCTACCTGCTTGATTACCCCTAACCTCTCTGCCTACCTGCCTTATTGCCCCTAACCTCTCTACCTGCCTGCCTGATCGTCCCTAACTGCCTCTGCCTGACTGCCTTATCGCCCCTAACCTCTCTGCCTGCCTGCCTGATCGCCCCTACCTGCCTGCCTGCTTGCCCCTAACTGCCCTCCCCTGCCAGCCCGATCGAGCCCCCAACTGCTCTCCCCTGCCAGCCTGATCGAGCCCCCAACTGCCTCTGCCTGCCTGATCACCCCTAACTGCCCTCCCTTGCCAGCCTGATCTTGCCCCCAGCTGCCCTCCCCTGCCATCCTGATCTCACCAACTGCTCTCTCCTGCTGGCCTGATCGCCCCTAACTGCCTCTGCCTGCCTGATCGCCCTTAACTGCCCTCACCTGCCAGCCTTGTCTCGGTCCCAACTACCTTCCCCTGCAGGCCTGATCTTGCCCCCAACTGCCCTCCTCTGTTGGCCAATTTGGTTCTGATTGGTCAGTTTCTATGCCAGTGTCAAAAGCTCTGCCTTCTAGGTAGCCATTGGCTCCTCACAGTTGACCCAGATTTGGTTCTGATTGGTCAGTTTCTATGCCAGTCAGCTTCTCTGGGCCTATCAACAGGGCCTGATCAGAAAGGTGGGGCTGATCAGCAGTCCCAGTGGAGGCCTGGAGAGAAATGGAGGCGTGGCTGTTGGCCAGGCCGGGAGAGAAAAAGAGGCAAGTTCTGATCAATGGCTGCCACAGAGGCTACGGATCAGACCTTGCCTCTCTCTCTGCAGGCCTCTCTCTGGGCCTGATCTGCAGCCCCGTAGGCAGTCAGTGCTGGGTCGCCTAGGCAGTCAGTGCTGGGTCTGGGCGCCCGCAGCAGCCCCAGTCAGTTCTGGGTCACCACAGCAACCCAGCACTGACTTCCGGTCTGGTCGAGCCTTGGGTCGTTATGACCCTGGCTCTTTATTATATAGATGGTTCAGGAGACTTTTCCCCTTCTGTCTGATGAATTCTAGACTGAAATTCCACATCATGAACCCATTTCCCTTAACCTTAGAACAGAGTTTTCACATTTCAGATGGATACCTGGCACATTCTTCAGAGCTTAAACTTTATACTCGCCCACATATTTGTGTGTCATCCATATGGCAAGACAGATTCAGAAATAGAAGGTAAAAGAAATAACTGATGCATTAATTGTAATTATACTGACTCCTCTAACATTTGCTATGCCAAAACAATAAATGTAAATATGTCTTAAATTTTATTCCTAGAGTTAATTACTCTAAGTACCAAAGACATTATTTCTTAAAAAGTACGCCTTTGTTAATTATGAAAGCTGGGATATAAAAATGTTTTTGCTTTATTTTTGGTACATTTGTATATATATTTTATTTGTTCAATATTATTTTAAAGTAAAAGAGGGAGAGAGAATAACTTTAAAATAGTTTTATCTACCAGGTGTTCCTAGATATAAAACTTATGAGCAGCAAGGCTCCAGAATTCAGAGTAGAGCAGACACAGAAATCTTAGGTAATTTTATTCCTAGAAAAATCTAATGGAACATTAGAAATTAATATAACTTCATTAAATTGAATCCTTTTGATAATCTTTTGACTTTAAGGAGCTCTAAATTTTAGGAAACTTACCATACCCACTTCTTTCAAGGCTGAAGTCACAGAAATAACAGGTCTTATCTGATGCTTTGATGGCGAGCCACTTGCTTCATGCTGTCCCAAAGGAGGAGACATATCAGAACCCTTTACTCCTTTAGACACCAACTATAATAAAGAATTTAAATACACACTGGGAATTTATATTTGCAGGAAGAGATAAAAGATATATAAAGGTATATATAAGATCACTGTTTGCTTATACATTGTATCCACATATAGTTTTCTCCATTCCTCAATTTTCATGATGTAGGTAGGCATGATCAGTGAATAAAGAGAAACATCTCAGGCCTCAGATGTAAACATAATTATGTGTCATGTAGTACCAAGTCATTCTTTAATACTTTATTAACAGTATTTCATTAAGTGCTCTTAAAAACAAATTGTCTTCTAAAAGACTAAATATTAATCCTCTCACTTTAATAAACTAAAACATTTCATGGGGGAAAAAGCATTTCGTGGGAAGAAAAAATATTTATTAATCTTACACTTGAAAATGTTTCTGTAATTTGTGCAAGTTTGGTACAATCTTCTTAAAGTTTAACATCAATCACCAAACGTAAGAGCCCTCATTATAAAAATGTCAACATAAATGAGAATGGAAGAACAATTATGCACAGTGAATAAGATTTATGTCATTAAAATATCATTTGTTATATTCATATAGGTGTTCATTTTTATCTTGCCACTTAGACTCTAAACAATGCAAAGTCAGATTCTGAACCTTTAATAATACCAGGAAATGGCATTTACAGGTATGGTCACATTAATATGGCAGCAACTCTGCTCCCTACTTCTATCTCTTTTTCAAACCAATAAACACAAATTTCTGGTGAGAATACATTTCACATGCAATATTTATTGAGTATCTTCTAAGCATAAGGTAGTAATACAATTCTAATATTTAGTCTTCTGGGCTTTCATTTTACGCTAGTATATGTTGTTCAAGAGAAGATGGAAGTATCTAACACAGTATTGAAGGAAAAGAACAAAATTTGAGAAATGACTTCAAGCCTTATTATAAAGCTACAGGAATCAAGACATTATAGTATTGGTGTAAGAATAAAGAGGTAGATAAATGGAACAGAACAGAAATCAGAAATAGAGCACACAAATACAGTCAACTGATCTTTACCAATGGAGCAAAGGCAACTCAATGGAGAAAAGATAGTCTTTACAATAAATGGTGCTGAAACTAGATATCCACAAACAAACAAACAAACAAAATGTATAGACACAAACCATACATTCTTCACAAAAATTAACTCAAAATCTATCACAGACCTAAAAGTTAAACGCAAAACTATAAAACTCCTAGATAACATAGGAGAAAATCTAGATGAACTAGGGTTTGGCAAGGACTTTTTTAGATAGAACGCCGAAGGCACAATCCATGAAAAAGAGAATTAAAAAACAGTACTTCATTAAAATTAAAAACTTTTAGTCTGTGAAAGACACAATGGAGAGAATGAGAACACAAGCCACAGACTGGGAAAAGTTATTTGCAAGATATAAACACGCAAAGAACTGTTAACCAAAATATATAAAGAAGTCTTAAAATTCAACAATAAGAAAACAAATAACCTAGTTTAAAAAATGGACAAAACTTAATAGACACCTCACCAAAGAAGTGTACAAATGGCAAATGAGCATATGAAAAGGTGCTCCTTGCCATATGCCATTAGGAAATTGCAAATTAAAACAAATGTGATACCAGTGAACTTTATCATGAGTGCTAAAATCCAAAACACTGACAGTGCCAAATGCTTCTGAGGATGTGAAGCAACAGGAACTCTCATTCATTTCTCATGGGAATGCAAAATGGTACATTCACTCACCATGACAGCGCTAAGGATGTCCGACTGAAGGCAGTCAGACATCCCCCAAGAGCTCCCGGACTGCAAGAGGGTACAGGCCTGGCTGAGGGACCCCCTCCCACCCCAAGTGCACGAATTGCATGCACCAGGCCTCTAGTATATATATAAAAGCCTAAGGCACACAGATGGTTACAGCAGATTTATTTATAATTGGTAATACTTGGAAGCAACCAAGATGACCTTCAGTAGGTAAATGGATAAAAACAAACAAACTGGTGTGTATATATACATCTATATGGGATATTATTCAGTGCTATAGAGAAATGAGCTAATAAGCCATGCAAATTCATGGAAGAAACTTAAATGCATATTAACTCAGTGAAAGAAGTTAACCTGAAAAGGCTACATACTGTATGATTTTAACCGTATGACATTCTGTAAAAGGCAAAACTATGGAGACAATAAAAAGATCCGTGGAGCCCTAGCTTGTTTGGCTCAGTGGATAGAGCATCAGCTTGTGGACTGAAGGGTCCCAGGTTCGATTTCAGTCCAGGGCACTTGCCCGGGTTGCGGGCTCATCCCCAGTAGGGGGCATGCAGGAGGCAGTTGATCAATGATTCTCTCTCATCATTGATGTTTCTTTCTCTTTCTCCCTCTCCCTTCCTCTCTGAAATCAATAAAAAAAATACACATTTTTTTTTTTAAAGAAAAAGATCTAGGGGTTGGAAGGGGAGTAAAGGTGGTGGGAGGGATAAATATACAGAGTACAGAGACTTTTAGGCTAGAGAAAATACTCTGTATGATATTATAATGACGAATACATGTCATTATACATTTGCTCAAACTCACAGAGTATAGAACACCAAGAGTGAAACCTAATGTAAACTATGGACTTTGGATGGTGATGTGTCTGTGTAGGTTCATCAATTATAACAAATGTACCTGGTAGAGGGTGGTTATAATAGGGCAAGTTATACATGTGTGAGGCAAGAGTTATATGGGAAACCTTTGTACATTCCTTTTAATTTTGCTATGAACCTAAAACTGCTCTAAAAATTAGTCTTTAATTTAAAAAAAAGAGAAGAAAATAGTCTTAACCCCATAGTTCAGTATTTCAGTATTGTGGAGAAAGTATGCTGATGTTTAAAACATCTAACCTATATAATAAAAGGCTAATATGCAAATCAACCGAACGGTGGAACAACCTGTCGCTATGATGTGCACTGACCACCAGGGGGAAGACACTCAATGCAGGAGCTGCCCCCTGGTGGTCAGTGTGCTCCCACAGGGGGAACACTGCTCAGCCAGAAGCAAGTGCAGCGGCAGTGGCAGGAGCCTCTCCTGCCACCATGACAGCGCTAAGGATGTCCGACTGAAGGCAGTCAGACATCCCCCAAGAGCTCCCGGACTGCAAGAGGGTACAGGCCTGGCTGAGGGACCCCCTCCCACCCCAAGTGCACGAATTGCATGCACCAGGCCTCTAGTATATATATAAAAGCCTAAGTGACCATTACGACCGAACAATCGGTCAACCAGTTGCTATGATGCGCGCTAACCACCAGGGGGCAGGTGCTCAATGCAGGAGCTGCCCCCTGGTGGTCAGTGCACTCCCACAGCCGCTCCCCCCCAGCCAGCCGCCCTCCCCACCACGATGGCCCTGATCAGAGGGCCAGCCGGCCAACGTCCCACGGTCCCTCCCGCAAGCTGGCCAGCCCCTCGACCAGCTGACCAACCTCCTGGAGTCCCTTCCCCTGGCTGGCCCCCCATAGACCTGGATTGCCGGCCAGGCCAAGGGACCTCCACCAGTGCACGAATTCGTGCACTGGGCGCCTAGTATTATATATAACTTTTTAAAAATTAGAGTTCTTACAAATGACTATAATCTCCTTGAAAGATTATATAGAAATATTTTGAAACTTTATGATTATCTTATCATAGAGTATACTCAAAAAAGGTTCCATAAATTTTGAGGAAATAAAAACAAGCTCCAATTAGATCTGAACAAATAGCCACATTTTTAGAATAATGTTATTTCCCTAGATGATTATTTTGAAGGAAACAAATTAATTTAAATGTATAAATTCTGTTGTTATTTTGTAAATCAGTAATAATTTCTCTACTACATATCATATTTATTAATTGTATTATGCCAATTCACTTAAAAATTATTTCTGCTATTTCAATAAATAAGTTTGATGTGATTTTGTGAGAAAACAAATATACAATATCTGATTAAAATTAATTAATCAACACATTCAAAGATGTATTAAGTGTGAAGCACAATGCTAGATAATGAGTATTGAAAATGAATGATACATGGGAACTATGTGAGGTGATAGATGTATTAAGTAACATTATTGTGGTAAACATTTCACAATATCTACACATATCTCAGTAAACCTGGGGGCAGAGGGGAACTCAATATATTGTCGACCAGAACTAATGGCAGTAAATAATTTCAAACCAAAGAAAAATAAAATAAAATGAATGACACAATGCTTTCTCTCAAAGAAGTATAAACTAGAAGAGAAAGGGGAACACATAAATCAATCAGTATGTTACAGAGAAATAAAAGTAGAGAGATGTGTGTTAAATGATCTGGGGAAAAACAAACAAAATAAAAACCACAGAAAGAACTGTGTAAAAAGCCAGGATGGGAGATAGTTTGAGTGGCCTTCAAGAGTAGCCAGTTTGAATGGCCATTCATTGTTTAAGGAAGTCATGAAATACAACTGAATGGAAAGGTCTACACTCAAAGTCCAAAACTCCCCCTCACTAACCCTGTGATTGTTTTCATGTTTCTTATCCTCTCTACACTTCAAAATTCTTCTCTCTAAAATGGGAATGCTGTACTCATTGTCTCTTTGGTATATGGATTAAATGTGATAATTTACGAAAGGTGTACAGCTGTGTGTGTAATAAATGGTAGCAATTATTATAGTTCAGCAAACATTTATTTAGATTTTATTAAATAAAGTCATGTGGCTTAAACACTAAAAGTCTGGTTTTAAAACCTGATGAAATGAAGACACTTGCACAAAGCAAAATAAAAACAAGACCTCCCAACTATGTACAATCAGAATTTAAAGTTTTTTGCACTACAAAAGAAGGTTTATGACACAGAGGTCAATAAGCAGCAGAAACCTGAAAGAAAATACTTTACATTACAAAAATTTAAAAACTAAGATTTTAAAAAATGATCAAGAGTAATTTAATTGTATCAATAATTAAACAGGAAAGATAGTATGAATTTAAACAATTTTACTAAAGAAGAGCACCAATTTCCCTTCT